AAGAGTAGTTTCTGATCTGGTTCTAGGTCCAACATAGGCCGGCCTTTCGATGCTATCTAAACGAAGCCGAGGTAACATCTTTCAATAACTTTCCCGCGCGCACCCCTTCAAGTGGTTGTCATTGGAGCGCGCTATTTCGCAGTCACTACTATTCCGTTGGCGGTCTACTTACCTTAGTAGCTACTGTTGTGACGCTTAAAATGACAGTACACAACACTTAACTAGAAAATTACCCATTTCTCGTGATTATCGAGTACCGAACATGGAGTTATGATAACGAGGGCGTAAAGAAACGTGTGACTAACAACGCACCATGTCGTATAGAAACCTAGTTATTGTAGAATACAGTCCAGGCGTTTGAACCGATCTTGAAAGGCGTTCGAAGCGAGGTGTGTTCGAACATAGTTTGGTCTTCATATGCATCCCACCGCCTGTTTGGTCCTAGGACCCACTGCATCTTTTCCAGCAGGTCTGCGTGCTGCAACTTCAGTTTCGTTTCGCCCCATAGAAAAACTCAGTTTTCAGACGATCGACTTAGCAAATTCAGCATCATCGAAAGCGCCGTATTAGTGAATGCCCTCATCTCCACCTCGCCTGTCATGAAAGTATGGCGGATTTGGAAGCGCTTTTCCGCCTCAGAAATTTCGATGATCTCCCATTATCATACTAACAGTCGCTCGTTGAGCGAAATATCACCGCTTCTTTCCCCCGGCTTTTGTCGCTTTTTCCAAGTGTGGTAATTAGCTGTCGAGGATTCATGATTGTTCCCTTCAATTGCTGTCTGTCTTTTCCACCATTGCTCATCCAACGCTTTCGCAAAGTTTCGTTATTTGGTTACAGTAGTCCATCACACCAATACCTTATGCTGTACATCCAATGTGTTTTGAGGCTTAGTGAAACCAGTGAGATACCCTATTTAGATTGCAATAGCATTTGACGTCCCTTGAAGTTCCCTTTTTCAAACTTCCGGGCGTGAAAAGAATTTTAGTTGATCTTCCTCAATTGCGACTCTGTCACTACAAGTTATTGATCATTACTGAGTAGTTGCAATAATCATTGATACAATCAGAATATATTGGAATCGATGAACAGATCTGAACAAAGTACAACGTGAACCTGCGTCCGGAAGGGCGGTTGTGTACGGTCCATGAAATAGTGCGCCCCAATAAAGTCGATTCAAACGGGTGCGCGCGGGAAAGTTATTCAAAGAGGTTACCCGTGCGGCTTCGTTTAGATAGCATCAAATTCTGTCTAAGGTATTGAACATAGGTCTAAAAAGCAGTATTGCGCTAAAATATCTCGAGGACATAGGAAGGCGTGAGTTAACGCCGAATCTCGCCACGAGAGGCTATTTTGAGACTGTCGAATTCAGAGCAATTATGAAAAGCATGATAATGTGGTTATTATCCCATTCAATATTTGCGATCAAATTTCTTGGCGCAGCGTAACTGCTTTGCCTTAGCTACTCTTCCTAGCTAAGTGGTTGTATGTTCCCATGTAGAGTTGCTATGATGCAATTTTCTTTCTGCCATAAAATGATATTTCAGGAAGACTTCCACTAAGCGGGCAGTCAAGGATGAGCTGGAAGAGCGGAACATGCTTGAGGTGATCTTCCTTTTCATTTCTTTTACTGAATCGAGCTCTCCGCTATTTAGTGCCTGTTAAGGATAAGCAGAGTGATGAATTGGCGATGGCACTGGGGCTCGGCTTCGACACTGACTTTGTCTTTAAGAACGGTTATGTACGTCGACCATTCCTTCATAAGTAAATTTATTAGAAGGCAGGAATTAGTCATTGCTAAGCGTTTCGAGAGGAGTCAGTTTTTCAAACAACAAAGAAAGTAGCGAATAGTATTCGTATTAATGGACGATCACCACTCTAAAGCGTGAAGAATGGATGCCTGAGAAAATGTTAAAATGGGCTCTCATGCACGCTACTAAGCATATGGTCCAGGTAGCTGACGCGGCCGCAATTAGGCGACCTCGTTGTGGCAAACCTTATTGAATTTGTACCCTCTCGGCGCCCAGTTTTGTTAGCATGTTGACCCCGGCATAGCCTTCAGTCGATGAAGGTATAGCAACAACTGCGGGGTGTTCCTGGGTCACTCTAACAAAAGGTAGGGTTTTTCTAAGTCCCCTGGAGTCCATAAGGCCTCTTTGAAGCTACTTCAGGATGTGATTCAAATGCGATTTTGGTTTTGAAAGACGTGTCGCTGGATTAAACAAAACCCAGCAACTAAAGCGTATTGTTGGCTCTGTGGCGTGCGTATCGAATGCGGGGATGGAACAAAGGCAATTTTACGCTTCAGTCCGTCAAGAGCTAGTGGTATCTTATATTGTCCCACACGGAGACCACCGACCTGAGCGACTAGTGGCTCATAAATAATGTCGCCAATGATAAAACCCACCCAAAAAGCGCATAATAAAGTTCTTTTAAGGAAGAAACAATCAGCCTACTCGATCATGAAGCAGATGAGGAGGATGATGATTTGACCAGACTTCCCAAAGACGAGCAGGAAGTGAACAGCACTTCTAATGGAGAAGGTGCCATCCGTGTTGTCAAGGTGCACTTAATTTAGATAAGATTTCAAATCTAGACGTATGTCGACGCAGGCCACTGCGTACTCTTTTTCACTTTCGCTTCGCGGTTGTTTGCCACTATAAAGAAGCTTTCCCCTCACGTTACATATTTTCCTATTGTGCTATGGACATTGCTTGATTTCAACATCACGTTAAACAGTTGGGGTTTGTTGCATAGCTCCACACCCTGCCAATGGTTCTCCGCATTTGCGGACTGCCAAAGGCCTTTGTTTGTATTTCCAGGCTCCCTTTACCCGAACGTTTTGCTTTCGAAAGCTTAGTGGTTTCAGAAGGTAACAGACATAATATTCAGGTAATTGGAAAGAATAAGCGTCGCAAGAAGGTCTTCAAGGAATTCGAGCTTATATTCCCTAGAATGAAATTTTATCGTTGTCTCCGTCGACTGACGAGACTCCGTGTGGCTGATACTGCCCCCGTGTCCCTGGCTGCTATTATGAAGTTTCTAGTTGAAGAGGTTGGTTTATCTGAATTGTGGTGAACATTTGGCTGTTTTGCTCCAGCACGACCACTATAACATTACTCTGGAAGTGTGTAGTAAGCATTGTTTTTCTCAACGATTAAGAGGATTGCGTTCAGGTTTTTTCCTACGCTCATGAATGTATGATTCGACAGAAGCGTAAAAGAATTACTCCGCAACATATCGGCATGGGAGTGCGCATTGATGATGTATGTTTGATTTGATCTTTTTAGAAAATGTCTTGTTACCACGATGAAAGTTACATGTCACTACCAAGATGAAACTCATCACATATTTTTTTTATTCGGGCCTTATGCGATAGCGACTATAGACGTAGCTAATGCACGCTCTTATTGGCAGATCGGAAGCCGTCTGCCCCTTCCGAGATCTTGCGAGCTCTGTTCTTTGCAAGCAGACCCGTGCGGGAGAACGCAAGGACTACCCAGGTGGAACCTAGTCCTTGTCGCGTGTGGAGAGAATTGGTCTGCAGCTGCAGTAGCGTGCCACATTGTCCGGTCACAAGAGCAGAGGAACGGGGCTGAAGGCTAGTGTCTTCACACTTCATCAGCGCTACTTCGCTTCCCGTATTGCCTATATCACTTTAACTGTTTACTGGCCCTGTCTACCGCTGAGTTCTGTGTCTTAGGCTGTGGGACTATGGTATCGACGGCATAGTCCTGCAAGCTGCATATCGTGCGCAAAGTCTGAACGGTCATCGGATATCTGATCCTAGAGGGCCTTGGGAAGACCTGTCGCCGTGTACTTTTGAGCGGAGAAAGAGGCATGCTACTGTAGCTGCTCACCCGATCCCCCTTACACAGCAAGGACCGTCCTCGGAGTAATGTACAATTTGTCTCTAACTCGACTCGCTTATACGAGCCATACACGATTTCAAACGGCCATAAGCTAAAACTAGGCAGTTAGTTTTTTTCTGCGAACCCGGGGACAGGTCATGCGAGCCAAACACGATTTCAAATGACCTTAAGCTAAAACTAGGCAATGAGCTTTTTTCTGCGAACCCGGGGATTGGTCTTCATGAGCAGCTTAGCACCGGTTGTTCAGTCTTTCAGGGAAAGGCATATTCGAACTTCTGTCGACAATTACAACATCTTTGTTGTTCATTTTCACGGTTGCTGTGGATCATTTAGGAACTGGGACAACTGTTCAAAGGCATACTTATCCCTTCGGCTGGACGTTTTGGAACTTTTTATCTGACACGCTGAGTCGTCGAAGATTCGCAATCAACTCACTTGCATGTTATCTCACACCCTCTGATAACTAACATTATCCAAAATAGATGATTACTGCCGAGTTTTTATTGTTTCACTGCAAGGGTCTCAGAAGTACGTAATGTTGCTTGATTGTTATTTTCATATCTTTTATTTGTGGTCACGTTTTTGTTCATCAACGTAAGCTTGGCTTCAGTGTGTCTGCAAACAGAGAATTCCTGCCAACGGATAAATAAATACTATTTTTCTCAAAAATCGTTCGGCTTTTTTTACCATACGGTAGTGCATCATGGTACGCGCTCCAGTACTACTTTGCCTGTTAGGAGACAGTTGTCATATTATTTACGTCACCTGATGTTGATTATATCAGGATGTTTTGCCAATGACCCTGCAGTCCTGTACGTCAGTCCGTTGTCACGACGCCGAGTACACGACTGAAGGAACGCTATATGTTGTATCAAATTTCTATTTTCGAAAAAGCTGGTCTTGTGAAGGCACGTTCCGCGTTCATTTAGTGTGCAGGTGCCCCTCACTCAGATAAAGTAGGTAGCGGACTTCCACACCACTTTTGCGCTTGGCATCTAAATGGCGAAAATGTAGCCAGAAGAAGGTGTGCATATCGATCTGAAGGAACCAAGAATCCTCGGAACTGGTGGTGTTGAAATCTGCAGAAATGCCGAAGTGATGGGCGAACACCTGATAGAGATCGATAGCTTGACCCTGCCTGTGGGAGAAATGTGATTCTGGAAATTTAGGCATTTCTGCAGACCGCATTACTCCCAATTAAGAACTTAAATGCCAAACGAACATTTCACATCAGCGAGGGGCGAACGGTCGCGTCATTGGTCATTGCGCGGGGGCGCTTTGAATGTGGCGGGAGCAGCTGAGTGCTCCTTTGGATTTTGCAATTCATGGTGACGTGCTAGAGTGATCATGTTCATCATTATCGTCAGTGAGGCCGCGTTTGTACGCGCAGTTTCCGCGGAATCGCGAACTCCGCAGATCGTGCGGAATCTGTATTCCACGTGTAAATTAGAAGTTGAAACATGCAGTGTTTGATACTTTAGAAGGTGAATGAAGGGATTTTACATAGAAATTAGAAGTTGAAACATGCAGTGTTTGATATTTTAGAAGGTGAAGTGAAGGATTTTACATAGAAATTAGAAGTTAAAACATGCAGTGTTTGATATCTTTGAAGGTGAATGAGTAGTCTCAAATATGTTCCTTTCTCCGTTCGCAGACCATTCATGGAGTCACTTAGACATGAGGTACAATCATAGACCACTCACGCGCTATTCAGTAAGAAGCGTACATGGATTTTAAAGCCCCTGTCGTACGGAACCTTATGTCGGGGTTTTTTTTTCTGAGTTTTTAGAATCCTTCATGAGCACAAACAGAAGTTTCGAAGACGTAAATCTAGTGCGACATGGTTAATGGGTACTTCAGAAGGGTGCTGGCAAAGGAGGTGCGTGGTAGTTAAACTCAGTACTGAAGGCAAAGATGACGACGAAATATATCTTTATCTCTATGTGATAACAAGAGAAACACCAATGCTAGAGCAAGTGAGTGGGTACAATAGGATTACTGTTCAACATCGGTGCATTTTAAGTATGTACAAGCTCCAGGAAATCAGTATTGTGTTGTAACACAGACATTCGTGATGTGGCGCCCTAAACGAGTTCGGGTGTGATCGCAATTTCCTTAAATTCGAGGATAAACTGATCGTTACGGTTAGCAACGTGGGTATAGAAGTGTCTGTGGGAAACTTCTGAGATTCCAGGAAACTAGAAGGAAGTCCTGTAAAGTTCCCTGATCTGAAGTATGTTTCGGGTTTCATAGTTCTCGATTCATTTCCTCCCAATCAAGTGATGTTCTCATTCCTACGAATGTCTCGTGTATCGTGAACCCAATCGCGAAGATAACGCGCCCCAGCGCAATGACCGCGACGCGACCGCTCGCCCGCTGATGTGAAATGTTCGTTTGGCATTTAAGTTCTTCTCTCCCAATTCGTAGGTCATCTCTTCGTGCAATTTTTCCTGGGGATTATGCATTCCTTCTAGCTTTGTTCTAATCGATACCCTACTAACTTTCTTCTGTCCACAGCGTTATTTTCGAACAGGCTCAAAGTGGCGTTCATAGCCTACGACGGTGAAAGTGGCGAGCTCGGGAATCTACGAAAAGCATTGAATACGTATCGTTCTGAAGAAGTGCAAAAATGAATAATTGCAGAGTTGAAGGAAGGGATTGACGAATTGTGGAAACAGATCGATACACATAGTCCTTTTCGTGAATTCTGCATTTTTCCACATTGTCAGTTCTGAATTTCCGCGCTTCTTCACTGTCGCAGATTATGAACGCAGCGAAACGGTGCTACCTAATCGTGACGAAGGCAGTACCTCGTGCACCGCCCATACCACAGCCAACGTTCACTTCTGCTCAAGTATTCCTAGTAGTGCGATTGTTCTGCTACTCAATTTCTCCATTCTGAATGGTGAGAGAGTATGTAAGCTGATAAACGGAACGAGCTGATACCAACAAATGAGAACTCCTTTTAGCCCACGTCGTTTAGCATGGGGTTCCATGTGTGGCGTTCCGGGCAGGTCTTCTGCTTTTCTTCTTTTTTTTGTTATCTATCATATTGTCGTTAGTATTGAGCCAGCCAACTTGCTATTTTGAATGAGGAGCTCGCCTTTGATGTGACACGTGTTGGATGCCATATCCTACTCTACCATTTAACCAACATGTGCTACATCTGCGCCAGCTGTACGATACCGTAAGCCGGAGCATAACTGATGAAAGGCTTGCTTCTGCAAAACACTTCATAACGCTAACAGTTTATTGGTAAATCCGCAACTTAAGCTACAAGATTGTGGAGACAACTACACGATGATGTATCGGTACTTTTAATTATACAGTGTGTAACTAAATCGATGTCAAAAAAGGTTGGAATAGCTGTATAGCATGAAGCGGGAACAACATCATTTTGATCGAGGAATCCGCCCTCTAATTGTTGAGTGGAATATCGTGAAACTCCTCCTCTTTCAGAGCAATGGCCGTGACGGTGTCATCATCCAAACCTGAACGGCCAACAATAATTCACAGAATAATTCCATATTGTTCAGCTCATACCATGACATTTCATCGGCGGCGGGCCACTGGTGTTAGTGCCAGCTAAGTCGTGCAGCTCACTGAGTTCCATCATAAGTTCTGAAAGCATGCACATGACAGCTGGTTTTATCACAGATTTCGTTAAGGCAGTTGGCACGATGGTTTCCTACTTGGCCTAAAATGCTAGTAGGGCGCTGTATAGTGGGGAAATGGCGAAAGAACGGAGTGAAACGGTCAAAATCCTGCGAAGAAAAAGCCTCCGTTCTCAGTGACTTGTAAATCGATTTCGGACGAGTTTCCCGTAGGCATCTTACCAATCACCGCTACCGAAGATACGGCTGCATATGTGTACCCATGTATGCATGCAGCATCACGGCCGCTTCATACCAATCCCTTCGCTTCATAATTTGCTTAGCAAATGAATGAATACGAGCGTCAGGAACGGTCGTCCATTTGTGGGCGGGCGGGCGTGGCGGGCGTTTGGGACGTAAAGTTGTGGCTTGATAGGGCCCTTATAAGGGCACCTTCCTCGGGGAAACCGCTATGCAGCGCCTGCCCAGGGTCGCGGAATTCTATCCTGCCAGGAGTATTGATCGTCTTGGGGGATTTATCGTGCCGACTGCCTTTAAGGTTTTGCGTCTCTAGACATTGCTGACTTTTGCCTCTCCGACACCTTTTTGAAGTTTTCAGGTCAGTTTCAGATTCTGTAGGAGCGCAGTAATTGAGGGGAAGTGACATCGCATGAGGGACATGCCCTCAGTGATAATAACATCAAGAAAAAAAATGATTCCTTAGTTATCGAAATCCGTGGTGACAATATTCTCATAGGTTTCTCTATTTCTCTATCCCATTGAACTATTCAGCCATAATTCACGCAAACGATGAGATTTGTTAAACAATGGGACGCTGTATCCCGGGGGAGGTACAGACGTAGTCAGGTCAGATACTGCAGTCTTGTTCGCTGTGGATGAAGAGCGTTTCACTCGTCTCTGTGTTTATATCCATGCCAGGAATTTGAGCAACATTATCGTTCGGAAAGAAACTGGTCAAGGCTGCATAGACTGTAATGCGGCTGCATTATTTATAGAGTTCCTACGCGACGTCGCGTGCACTTGGGCGCGTGGCGTCTGCTGCGATCAAATCCAGACATTCGCTAAGCGTGCGAATCTAAGGAACGCAGAAACGGCGAGATAGCTTGCGGGGTGTGGAGCTTAGTTTCAACTTTTCCCGAATGCGGAAGGTGCGGCCAAACGGGCGTTGGAAGCGGGATGACGTACGCACTATTCGCACCAGAACCAATCCAGTCAACGTAGCTCACCTAATACTCCATTCATTTGTACACGTCAACATTCTGTTTTTCTCTGCAACTATTCACGACCACTATAACTTTGCACATTCCAACTTCTGCTACTTGGCTCATTCACCCTGAAGTCCCCTCCCCTTAGCCCTCAAAAAAGTTCATCCCTTGGGTAAAACGACATGCTTGTCGCACCTTCCGATGCCTTGATAGCCGCTGTCACCTACTCTGCGCTCTGGCCTTTTGCGTCAGGACCCACACCAAAAGTTCTAGTTGTCACATAACCCAGACGATGGTCACATGAAAAGGTATAGAGGGTGTAACGGGAAGACGACTGGTGCTGAAAGGTTGTGCTAGTGACTAATAGGGTCTGATTTAGGGACGTTAGAAGAAGAGAGCGAAGAATAAAGCGCCTGGCAGCAGCAGTGAGACGTTGGTGAAATATAAGAGGGACGTACTGCTCTGATTGGTTTCCATTTGCATTGTGTTGAAGTTTGGTGGCTCGATTTTCTCTGAAGATTCAGTTGGTTTTGGTCGGAGTTTGTCCAGCGATTTCAAATCAGGCATGTCTCGGACACAGGATATCCTGAAAGAATTGTTCAGAGAACAAAATTTGTCGTTCAGGGTTTTTCTTACTTGATTTTGAATAGTCACCTTGATGTTGATCGTTGCATAAGTGGCTCCACTTCTTCGATTACCGTCTGTACAGGTTTACCGGCGAGCATTGCGTCACGTTGACGATTTTTGAGCTCCTAGGGTTTTCTAAGTTCGTGAATTTTGCTAAATCCCTGACCAGGGAAGTCCGCCAACTTACCATGGAACTTTGAATGGAGACCTGGGTAGATCGATAGAGTCTATAAGGTTATTTACAAATATAGATAGCAAAACTGCAACCTGCATTTCACAAGCAACTTATGAGCAGGTAAAGTTTGTAATGGTGCAGTAGGGTGGAGGCTTGGTGGTGAGCTGTGAAGCATAAGCGAGAATCGCATACGTCGAATCGAGTCGTCGAACGTCGAACCTTACCACTGAACCACCACGACTCGATTCGACGTATGCGATTCCTCGCTTATGCTTCACAGCTCACCACCAAGCCTCCACCCTACTGCACCATTACAAACTTTACCTGCTCATAAGTTGCTTGTGAAATGCAGGTTGCAGTTTTGCTATCTTAACCTTATAGACTATCGATCTACCCAGATCTCCATTCAACATGGTGAATTGGCGGACTTCCCGTGGTGAGCCTAAGACCAGCCAAATCGTCCACACCTGTCGCTTCGCCACATGAACTTTCTCTCGATTTTTGTCTGCGCTGCACGAAAAAATGGCAGCAATGACAATAAAGAAGACATAAACCCACAAATCTGAATACAGAAGATGAAACCTGTACGTTCAATATTGTACATTCATTCATGAGAATGATAGGGTCAAAAACAGTTCAGAGCTGCCCATGCCTACCTACAGTACCACGACCTCTTCCAAAGAGCCGATAACCGCATCCAAACGTTCGCTATAACTATGCACTTCAAACTATGCAAGTGTTTTCCATTCTGGCCTTTAAAGGGACAAAGAGATTCCCTCTTTGACAAGACAGCGCGCTCTGCAATTGCTTTTGACATATCACTTAAGTTGCTCGTGCTTCATAAAAGAAGCCGGAGGCCTGCTACGCTTATCCAGCTCCTCTAGTTGTGTCGATCGAAACCCTGATCACTTAACTTCATGATCATTGTTTGGCGCTGCGTTCTCGCTGGTTACGTGATTACTTGGACTTTTGTACATAGTGCTGTTGCGACAGTCAGTATATAGACAGCTAGAGGAAAGCTCAAAGCAGCGAAATGTAGCATAGGAAGAGCTAGAGGAGAGGAAGTCTCCTCTAGCAAGTAGAACCTAATCTCTTTAGTCATGCTTCTTTCGTTTCTCTTACGCCTCACGTCGACCTTTACAGAGTAATAAGTGGTTCCCTCCCCTTAAAATCTCTCCTCCCCTGACTCGCGATATGTCTTTCGCACCTTTCAATGCTTTGGTTGCCGCAGTCCTTTCTTTCTCTGCGCTCCGGCCTTCGTGGCTAGATCGCAGAGAAATAAAGGACTGTGCTGATGCTGAATGCTGATCTCCACTTCTGTCACTTCATTTCACAACGAAACAGATCAATACGTATACACTCCTATTCGCGGTCTCTAAAACTCTTCATTTCGTCCACTCTTCACATTCGCTAGGTATGAACGCGCCCTTATCACGGTCAAAGCGTGGGATCGCGCGATAAGTTAGCACCTTATTTCTTAGCAGTTAACCTGCCGCCACAGTGGCGATACACTGAACAAATGAGTCCTGAATCGAGTTTGTTTTCCTTTGTACTCTATGGATTAGAGTCGTGACCATTAGTCAACTAGAACTGTCGTTATTGGGTTGAGAGACACTCACATGCTACATTAGAAGCAAAAGTAGAGATATCCGTTTCATCAGGCTCACCGACTGGTTTACTGTTTAACATAGAAATGAGGCACCCTTTTTCAGTGTGTAATATCAATTCATCATTTTGAACTATCAATTGTGAGATAATAGGAAGTGAGATTCAGTGAGTTCCGAGTCCATGATCACGTCACATATACCACATTCGCTAGCATTTCCTCTCCATTCAGCAAAGAGAATCATACTTGAAGCACATTCGCAGTCGCATTCATTTTTGCTGCGGATGATGGGGATTGTCACGAGGGATGGCACACCGCCAGCTCGTTCTACATCAGTTGCTTCAGTTGTTGAAGCAGGTAAGCGACAAGAACTAATGGGAAACGGCTGATACGGCCAATACATTACACTCTTTGTGGTTTGCTCCTTCAACAACTGATGGAAAATGGGTTTGAGGCGCTGCGCTAAACCCATCCTCGCCTGACACGCCCAATCATCGGCAGCGAACAGCACTTTATTCATCTTTATATCATGGAAACAGAAGAGGATTTTCCGGGACCTCTCCTGTTCTGGGAACAGGCACAGCATTGCTGGGAGAATCTCACCATGAGTATCGTGTTTGCTCACAGGGGAGGAGGGGGGTTGTATTTGCCTTTTCTCTCATTCCATGTTACATGCTCGATGTGCCCCTCTCCCACCCGTGGTTGCTGGCGCCGCAGAAGTTGAGAAGGCTCAAGGTCATAGGTAGAATAGGGAAGGG